CAAAGCCTTTCTCTATCCTCTGCAGGGAAGGCACCCCAAGAAAGAAGGGGAAAGAACCCTTGTGCCTGGTGTATTGTTGTTTTTCCAGGCACTTTTGAATTTAAATTGTGTGAAACACTCTTGAAATGGCCTGTGCATCGTCACGCTTCTGGGGTGCAGGCACCAGGTATAGGGGCAGGCATCAAAGCCAGGCAAGGATGAGCACACAGACCGTGCCTCGTGCCCCTGACGGGGATCCTTTTTCTTCCCCTGCTTGTTAGACCATGGTCTTCCAGTGCCACCTCCTGCTGCTGGCACACGGTGCTTTCCTCGGTGTGTGGTGAGGGCAACAGTCTCCTCTGCAGCCTTTTCCCCTTCTCTGGACAGGTACAAGGCACAGAACTGCCCCGGCAACAGCGAAAAGTTACCCATCCTCAACGACTCCCCCATGGAGGCAGAGGTGCATTTCTCCTTTGAGAAGGACAGCAAAGGAGAGACGTTCCTTTTGGACCCTCCCAGCATGAGGCTGCAGCCCAAAGAGAAGAAGGTAGGAGGTGAGCAGGTAGGGCAGGACCGCAGAAGTGCCATTCCTCCTGCTCACAGAGGGCTCTTTGTATTTCTGTTTGTGGGGACGGGTTCAGAAGCTGAGTGTTTGGGCGTACCCGACTTCTGCTGGCCTCCTGGGAGACAGTCTCGTCTGCTGGATCAAGGACAACCCGGAGCCAGCGGTCTTCCGACTGTGCTGCCAAGGGGTGCACGTGAAGCTGGGGGTCAGCCCCCAGGAGCTGCATTTCAACAAGCTGCTTCTGCACAGGTCAGTCATCCCACGGCTGAGGGCACTCCAAGGCTCGTGACAAAGAGAAGAGGTTTGACTCTGGTTCCAGAGGCTCAGATGGAGCTGCTTTGAGCCGCATTCAGTGGCCAGGCTGGTGTGACCACCCAGCACTGACGCTGAGTGTCTTCCTGTCTCTGCAGGACTGACACCCAGACCCTGGTCCTGAGAAACGACAGCCCACTGCCCATGGCGTGGCATCTCAGTGGGCTGGACGACCTTGGAGATGAGTTCTCTGCATCGCAAGGCAGGGGCATCGTTGGGCCCCGCACAGACTTTGAGGTGAAGCTGGATTTCAAGGCCGAGAAGATTGGCATCACAAATAAGATGATCCGACTAGAGGTGAGAGGGACTTGGGCCTGCCTGGCAGAGCAGGGCAGAGCAAGCAGCCGTGTGCTCTTAGGGACAGAGTCAGGGAGAGCTGCACCTGACAGACACGGGGGTGCTGTGGCCCCAAATTCTGCCTCTGTGCTGGGTTGGCCGGGTGCCCAGGCTCTGCATCCGGAGCCTGTAGCACAGCCACCTTGCTGCTGTGCAGGCTTGAAGGCTGTTGTTTGGTTGTACTAACCAGCATTCCCTCTGCACCCTTTCTGGGATTTTGTTCCCTGTGGTTTAGAGGCTGCATTTCAGCAAACATGCGAGGTGATTGACGAGGAGGGCGCTAATTGTCAATGCCACCTGCTCTGGGACACCTCGCATTTCTTGTGGTTGTGTTTACAGCCCTGGCCCTCTCAAGGGTGCTTTAGCAGCACCATTCCCTGCTGTGGGAGTGTGGAATTGGGCTGATAAGGTTTCCTACTGCAGCGGAATCCTGCCGGGGCAGCCTGTGAGATGAACAGGTTAAGAAAACTTGGGAGTCCACAAACACTTGTCAAGCCAGAGAGGCCATGGGGGAAGCAGCTGGCAGAGACAAGGACTTAGAGGCTGTCTTCCAAAAGAATGGTCTAAGCAGTGTTTGTTTCTTGCTGCCTCAGGTTTCAGATACAGAAAACATCCTGGGCATTGTTCAGGCTGAAACCATCAAAGTCTCTGTGGAGGTCTACGATGTTAATCTGAGCATCAACATGCCTGAAGGTCAGTGGATGCCTCCCAGACAACACAGTCCAGATGCATTTTACTACCTTGGCAGGTGGGCAACCAAAGCCCTTGGGAGGGGATGGCATAGCAGGCAAGGGTGGCACAGATCCATAAAGCACAGACCTTGCAAGCTGCGTGAAGTAAAGCACTGTCAGGGCACCAAGAGCCTTGAGTCTCTCCCTTCTGAACTTAGAAATGTGCAGCTTCATGTGCAGATTGCATTTGGTGCTTTGAAACAACAGTCATCTGAACAGGCAGTTGGCAAGTCCCAAAGGCTCAGCAGAGCACATAAAGTAGCTGGATTTGTGCTTGGAAGCAAGGAAATGGAAACCAAGCTCCTTGGCTTCTACCCTGCAGATACTGGAGTGAGAAGAGAAAGGGCAGCCAAGTAGCTAGAGAACACTTCTGAGAAGGGACACTTGCTGAAGAGGGTTTTGTGCCATCCAAGAACTCCAACTGTGTAGCTTGTGAGCTGGTGTGCTCTGCAGCAGTTCACAAATATTCACCATTTCTTACCTCGCTCTGCGGGTTTTCTGCAGGTCCAGATGGCAGCTTGGAATTTGGAACCATTAATGTCCTGGATAATAAGCAGCAAGTCCTGAGTCTGCAGAACAAAGGCTTATATGACACTGAGTACAGGTGAGTCCAGCTGCCTGGTGCTGAGCTTTTCCTCAGGCTCCCAGGCCTGCGTTCTCCCTCTGTCCATGGCTAGAACCTGTTCCCGTGCTGCGCCCTTTTCTTTTTTTTCTGGTCCTGTGCAAAGTGCTGGCTGTGCTGGTGGCACCTGTGCTTTCCCTTTCTCCACAGTTTCAAGCTGACCACTGGAAGTGCCAAGAGGGGCGACTTGGAATCTCCCTTCACTGTCCGGCCGCAGGGGGCTGTGCTGAAAGCCTCCCGGCCACCTGTGAAAGTTGAGGTCCTCTTCCACCCCACGACTGAAATGTTTCTCGAGAGCAAACCCATCCTGCTCTGCCAGGTGAGCTGCCTGGGCCCGGCTGTGTTAGCACAGTGTGTCTTGGGAGCATAAGCAGGAGAGGTGTCTTGTGCAAAGCAGGCTTTAGCTGGGGCATCCTCTCTCCTACACACACAAACAGAGACTTCCAAAACCATTTGGGAGGCTTCGTAAGAGAGCTGGAAATCTGGCTCTGGAAGAGGCCTTTAAAAAGGGAGGGTGAGCTGATGGAGACCTGGGCTGGGGTCAGGGGACAGGGGTAGAGGCTGGCCTCTCTGCTGTGTTTACCAGCCCCTCCTCTGGTTGCAGGTCATTGATCTCAAATCGGGTCAAGGAGGCGAGACCGTTGCCACCATCCCAGTGAGGGTGTCGGCGAGAGCTGTGTACAGCAAGGACAGCATCGAGCCTGCCTCGCCCATCGACTTTGGTGCCATGGTTAAGGGCACCAAGAAGAGACAGGTCTTAATTGTAGAGAACAAAGGCGCCCTCAACTTCAAATTCCTCATCTGCCAAGCACCTCCACTGCAAAGGTAAGAGAAGACCTGCCCCAGCCGTTCTGTCTGAGGAGGCACCACCACACAGCTGGTGTGTGACAGGCAGCCAGACCTGGGTTATTGTCCATTTGGGTCACTGGCTTGGGAAGAGGGAGCAAAACAACACCTCAGTATCCCCATGTGTGGGACAAAGTTGGTGACAGAGCTGCTCTGTCCATGAGCTGCAGCAATGGGTGCTGCAGGCAGCTCCCCGGGGGCCATCGGGAGCAGGAAGGCTTTCCTGCATGGGGAGGAAGGCCAGCTTTGGCCTCAGACAAAGGCAGGGGAGCTCAGCATGACAGATGTCTCTGCTTTCTCCTCTCAGTTCAGAGCAAGAGGAATCTGCCCCCTCGGTCAGGGAAAGAAAACGCTCCACACAGGTGGGTGGCTCCTGCTCCTGCCCAGCATGTGCTGCTGCAGGGGATGGGGGAGGATGCAGCTGTGCCCAGGCTGGGGGTAGGACAAGGTCTGCAGGATGGAGAGTCCATTATCTGCTCAGTTCCACTGACAGTCCCATGCTCTGGCTCTGACCTGCAGTTGTGGGGTCAAGAGAGGGAAGCAGGTCCTGTGTTTGGTGGCTGCTAGCCAGCACAGATCTGGGAACACCACAGGAGCAAACTGTCCCCATCTGAACTCCCAATCCATAGAGCACTGACAGCTCTGCTTTTTCTTCTTCCCAATCCCCTCCCTCTCTCCAGGCATTTCTCTCAGTCCTTTCTGCTCTCCTGTACCCCTGGAGGTTGAAGGATCCCAGCTACCACCTCCATTCTCTTCACCCCAACTCCTTTCTCTCTGCCACTCGGGACAGACGTGCAGCTCCTCCTGGCTTGTTCATCTCATCCTGGGGCTGCCTTTGGGCCGTGGAGTCATCCTTCCCTGCCCTGACACTGGGTGTTCGGGCCCAGCTGGAGGCTGAGGCGTGGCATCCTCCTTGCTGGGGGTGTTCAGGGTACGGCTGTTGGGCATCAGCCTGTCCTGGCGCTCTTTCTGCAGGCTCAGCTCACTGCAGGCGTGTTCACGGTGTCCCCTTGCTCCGGCTCCGTCGGTCCTGGGGGCCAGCAGAAGATCACAGTGGATTGCAGCCCAGGAGCAGAGGGGAAATGTGAGGAGCAGCTGTACATTGACATCAGCAACAGAGACCCCAAGGACAATCCCCTCGGCATTCCCTTTACCCTGACTGCCGAGTCCTGCCTCCCAGGTACGTGCTGTCCACAGGTTGCCATGGGCAGTCCTGCTGCTGATCAGCACCTAAACTTGCTACTTGGATAGAGAGGCACCTGGTCCTGAAGTCCCACCTTAAAATCCTCAGAGGCTGCAGTCCTTTTTGAGTCCACCAGTGGGGAGAGGCTGGGAGGGATGTGTGGAAGCATAAAAGGAAAGCAATGCCCTTTAAGACTGAGGTTGACTGAGCTCCATCCTCACTGACTGAGCTCTCTCATCCAAGGCTGGGTTTTGCAGTCACCTGGACAGAAAGGGCTTATCAAGCCTTCTGAGAGGCCAGCTGGGTCCAGGTGAATTCAGCAAAGAGGTTCTCCAGCCTCAGCCCTTCCTCTGGTCTGTCTGCAGCGCTTGTTGAAGACGTCACGTCCATCTTTGAGCAGTACCCGATCCACAGCAACATCAATCTCCGCCAGACGTTACAGTCGGTGCAAGGCAACGGTGTGTTCATCAGAGATGATAACAAATTCATCTTCACCAAAGTTCAGGTTGGGCAACGGGCCACGGCTCGCTTCAAGATCTCTAATGGCAGCAGTGTCCCATGTGACGTGGTCCTCTCCATCAAAGCCATGCCTGGAGAGGTAAGAACAAGAGGCCAAGGTGAGCGCTGCTCTCTAAAGGCCATGTGAGAGCCTGCCTTGTTCTCCAGAGTCATTGCGGTCTCTGGCCCAGCTGGACCAGTCCAGCTCAGTGCAGGTCAAACTGCAGGGCAGAGCAGCAATGCCAGGGGGGCACTTGCATTGAATTCCACATCTCTCAAGCAAATTTTGGCTCACGCTTCTGGGTCTTTGGTGGGAATCCTTCTGAACATCTCTCAAAAGCACACTCAGAGAGGGGCTGTTATGGACCGATGGGGCAGAGCTCAAAGCAGAGCATTTCCTGGCTTTTCCTTCTCTTGAAAGGCCAGTCCTGGGTTATTTGAGGGGTTTCTGTGCCATCCCAACCTCCCACATGTGCTGGGGTGGCTGCCCAGCCCTCAAAGCAAGCTTTTGCTCGCCTGGGCATTGGCGCAAGGTCAGCATCCCCTGGCATGGAGGGAGCCTGCCCAGGGAAGCATGAAGCAAGACAGGCTGTCTGGGGCTGTTCCCAGGGATGCATCTAGGAATGTACTGGGTCACATTGAAAGATGTGACACTAACACTGCACTGTGGGTTCCCCCCAAGCCTCACAGCCTCATCAGCAACATCTTCAAGCTGGATCCTGTCGAGATGAGCATTCCTGGCTTATCCCACGCCTTTGCTACAGTGACCTTCACTCCAGAACAAAAGGAGGACTACCAGTGCACTTTCACAGCTTCCCTTGTTAGCCCAAAAAGGTAGTGACCCCGTGAAGTATTGGGGGGACCGTTCTGGTAGCTGCCTCTCCTCTTGGTGCCTCTAATGCTTTCAGTGCCCTTAGGCAGAGTACCTGGCATGAGATGATGTAGGAGGCATTAAGCATTAGGCAGAGCAGAGCAGGAAAATGAGGAGGATACTTCAGGCTGTGTGAGGGACTCTGAAGAGAGGGCCTCAGGTAGCCAGCTGGAAGTTACTGACAAGTGCAACAGCTGAGCTGGGGCTTTCCAAGGCCAAAGGCTCAGATGAAGCAGTTTCTGTGCCAGCAAGTCAAGATTTCCTCCATATTTCTGTAAAAGGAAGTGATCCTGTGTGGTTTCCAGGCATACATTAAGCTATTTTTATATCAGGGGAGTGACTGGAGCTCTTACCAAAGAGAAGCCCAGTTCCTCTCCCTGGCACCTGTGTACTGGGGCTCTGACCTGCCCTTCCCCAAGTCTTTAGTGGCTGAATTGGAACAGGGAAGTCAGCTTTCTGCCCTAACAAGCAATTCCTTCTTTAGGATCCTTGGAAATAATCTTTACTGACGGTGCTGTTGGTTTGGTTTTCCCTTCTTGCTTTCGTACTGTTCTCATGGTGTGCTTTTGCTTGTTGCATGTCTCCTATCACTGCAGCCAGAGGATTTGCCACGTCTCATCTGGTGCCTCGTTATTTATCTGCTGTATGGTGTGATTCAAATGAGGGAAATTATTTAGAACTGTTATTCTGGAAGGCTCTGGCTGAAATGGTTTCTGTGCCCACCAGTTCTGCCCTCCCAACAGCGAAACCAGTCCCGCCAGCCAACGGGACTGGTCAATGCAACAGGAGCCACTGGGAGGGACTGGGAGGGACTGGGTGTCATTATCTAGTTAACTAAACCAAGTCCCTTCACTATGAACCTTAGACAAGGTAAAAGGGAGGTAACTTGGTTTATGTCTTTACAGGGGCCCAATTAAGTTTTACGATTTCTTTTTCTTTTCTCTCTCCGGGTTGTGTTGACCTCAGGCTGTTTTCTTTTTATGGACCTCAAATCGTTCTCCCTTTTACCTTGTCTAAAATTTATAGTGAAGGGACTTGGTTTAGTTAACTAGATAATGACACCTTTCTGCAAAGTTGATAACTGTGCAGATAACAAGCACCCATCTGGCAGTGTCTGACCTGACAATGGGTAATGTTTTTGCTGTTGTGTAAGGAATGTATATATTTATAGAGAGAATAAATAGAGAACAAGTGTCTCCTTTCAACCCCTCCCTGATCCCCCAGCGCTGAATTTGCTTTTCTCAGATAATAAATTCTGGTTGGAAACCACCCGGCTCTGGGTTTCTGTTCCTTACAAGTGTGGATCTGAAATATTATATCAATAATTTATTTATCTCAATATACTTTTATGTAAATTATTTATTTATTTATTTATTTATTTATTTATATACACGTATTATACATTTGTATATATATTATTGATATAAATTATATATCAATATATATAAATACATAAAGACATATTTATGTATTAATTTCTATACGTCATTTATGTATTTAAATGTTTTATTTATTTTATATACATTTGATATACATTTATATACATTTTATATACATTTTATATACTTACATATGTTATTGATATATATTATATATCAATATATTTATATATTGATATATAAAAACATATATATAAATGTATATATTCTTTATATATTTGAATATTTATTTTATATATATTTTATATATTTATATATTATTGATATATATTATATATCAATACATTATATATAAATATATAATTGATATATTAATATATATTATTGATATATATCATATATCAATATATTATATAAAAATATATAAAAACATATATTAATATATATAAATATTAATAACCGGGACTGGGGAGAACTGGAAGCTTTACTGGGATCACTGGGAGCAGCCGGCTGGAGGCAGAGTGACAGCAGGGACAGGGGGGACACACGACCCCCCCAAAATCCTCACGGGGATGGGGGGGGTCCAGGCTGGGCCCGAGGCCCCGGGGAGGGGCTGCGGCCGCCGGCGGCTCAGGAGCTCTGTGGGGAGAGAAAAGGGGGGGACACCGGGGTGGGGGGTCCCCGGGGGGGCACAGACGCTCTGGGGGGACACACGACCCCCTGGGACCCCCCTCACCTTCTGGCGCAGGTAGAAGCCGAGCCCCAGCGCCAGGGAGACGAAGGCCAAGAGGAAGCCCCGGCCCCTCCTCCGGAGCAATTCCTCAGGCTGATGGAGCCCGGCAGGGCCGGGGCCGCCGGCGGTGTCCGATCCCGGCAGGAAGCGGGGAGGGCCCGGCGGGGTCTGATAGAAATAAATCAAGGCAGAGCTCTCTCTTTCTTTTCCCCCCTGGGCAGTGACCATCAAGAGCTGTCCCTGCTTCCCAGCAGAAGCTGCACACACTTCAACAAAGTCTGTGGAAGAATCTGCTCTGTCAAAGTTGGCCCTGGGCTTTTATGCTTATCCAGGGATGGATCAGCAGTCACATATTCCCAGGCCAGTGAGCAGCTGACCTGTCAAACTCTGCTTCCAAAAGCAGGATGTGTGTTGGAAGGCTGGGGAACCAGGCTGGGTTGGGCACAATTCAACACTAAACCAAGCCCTTGGCACCAGCAGTAACTCCCCACAGAGAGCTGGCAGTGCTTGCATTCTCCCATCAGATTCTTTTCCAGGTAGAACATCCTGCTACAAGGGGTCTGTTACTACCCACCCCAGAAAGGGGTTGGGAGTAACCCAGGTTCTTATTAATAAATCCCTTGGGGTGGATTAAAGTGAAACGACACTGAATAATCAGTGTTTGAAAACATATGTATGTAGGGTTTATTTTAGAACAATTTCATTTCAAAGGTAAACAAGTATGTTTCCATTTTGGGTGTTATCATCTCTATCTCTCATCTATAGCAATATGGCATAAAGAGAACCTTTAGGGGAAAATGCATAAGTAGAGAAAGGAAAGACAGGATAAGGGTGAGGGAGAGTAACGGAAAGCAAAGCTGAGAGTGGAAAGCTGTCTATAGTCACTGCCCACGGGGTCCAGCGATGGAACTTGGCAGTTGCAGCTCCAATGTCTGTCAGTTGAAGTGGTGGCCTTGATCCGTTGGGGGTGGGGGAGGGAAGCCCCCACACTCCAAGAAGTTATGAGTTATTATATCCATGGACAGTGTCCTGGGCCGTGCCTCGAGCCTCCAGGGTCTGCTGGGCCTGCGCAGAGTTCCCGTGAGGGGCCTGGTAAACACGTCTCTTCTCGCCTTTTCAGGGCTTGACACCTTCAGCAGCACTGGCAGGGGGGATGGGTCCAGCTGCCTCTTCCCAGCCTGCAAAAGTGCCCTGGCAATCCTAGAATGCATAAATCATTGTGGCAGTTTGAGACCCTCACAAATCCAATTTCCAAGTCCTAGCCCCCCCCCAATTTGTTTCAGTGTGAGAGGGTTTTCAGACAAAACACAGCTCAGTATGGGGGGAAAGGAATTATATTACAGTTTATTACTTACACAAATAAATACTATAATACATTATATACACAATTCTAACTATCTCTCCTATGGAAAAGCAATATATTTACATTAGATCAAATCCCTCCTTTCCCTCCAATAAAAGTTCTGAAGGGAAGATGAAAAGATCCTTTCCACTTTCAGGGCAGCAGTGTCTCTCCTCTTCAAGGCAGCAGTCATAGCTGGATTTGTCGTAGCTGGAAAATCTCTCTCTCTCTCCATTACAACACAGGGGGCTTCTCTCACCCCTTGGCCCTTCGGCTCCAGCCAAAGGTCTCTCTCCTGTGGACTGCGAAAGCAGGGACAAGGCTCACCTCTCCACAGTCATATCACGGGGTACTGGGCACCCCTGACAGTCCCTTCCTCAGGGGATTCAAGTTCCTCCTGAGTTTAGGGCTTTCAGTTCAGTTTTTGCCCCAAGTGTTCTAGCAGAGCTCCTTTGCTCCGTCTCAAACTGTCAGCATGGCGAAGGGGGGCAGGAAGGCCTCTTCCCCCCTCCACATTCCTCCTGGCTGTCCTGGTCCAGCTCCAGGACATCTCTGAGCTTCTCAGCTCTCTCTCTCTCTCTCTCTAGTTGCTGCTGCATTTCAGGACTCCCTTCAAGTGGAAGTCCACCCCCTCCTTCCAAGAGGGATCTCAAAGGGTTTGGAGAAATAAAGCCAGGCTCACCCCAAACAGTCTCTGCTGAGCCTGGTGCTCTGTCTCTCCGTCGGGCATCTCTGTGTCTCTCAGCTTGGCTCTGTGCCACCTCGCTCCTGCTGACTGTCTTCTTGGCTCTCAGCCACAGCTCTCTGTTCGGTGCTGTCTCTGCCGCCGCTCCTGCTGCCCACTCACAGTGGAGAAAAACTCCCTCAGCTCTTGGCCACAGTACTGGGCCCAGTTTAACACTGTTCCGAGTTTCTACAGCCCCAGCCAGGGGGCTGGGGGGTCTTGGCCCCCAGCGGGGCTCCCTGGCCCCCTCTGTCCTCGTGGTCTCAGACCATGGCTGCTGTTCTTCTTTCAGCTACATAATCTCTTCTTTTCCGGCCTGTTGTGATATGTTTAATTTTGCAGGGGTGCTGATTGGGTTAACACCAAGAATACCACCTGCTGGGGTTAACCACTTTCCAACTCCAGGGGAAAACCCTTTTTAACCCAGGACAGTCATGAACCATTTCAGTCTCTGACTCCTCACCTTGGCCAGTCAGTTCCTGGGAACAGCCCTGGCAGCGCAGCCCCCAAGGGCACACAATGTGCTGCTGGGCTGGAGAGGACCCTCCTCAGCCTGGGCAGCAGGGCTGCAGGGGGGGATTCCCTGCCTCTCCCCAGATGGGCCCTTCCTGCCCACCAGCTCCTGCTCCAAAGGGCTTCCACACAGCCTGGGGCACTTGTCCCACTTGGGCCCTTGATCTGCCCCAGGGCATCTCTGGGCAGTGGCCAGCTCTGGGACTGCTCTGGCAAGTCATGACCTGAAGCCACGAGTGTGGAATTTAGGAAATAGTTGAAATCTCTGCAGAACAGAACTCTTGGTGACTGCTGAAGGCTTCATGAACAGCATTGCCACATCTTTTCTTTTTTTTTTTAAATTCATCAATTTTTTGTAGGCGAACACCAGGACTATGAGACTTGGAAAGAGCAGCTTTAGACACGAACCCGCTGCAGCAGCGACTTCCGGGATCGAGCAAAGCAGAAAAACAACAGCCACTTGTGTTATTTATTGTAGGGGTTGCCCCCCCTGAGCTGTGTATTTTTCCCGACCCACGGGGGTCCTGGGTGTCAGCCATGATGTTACCTGAAAGCTGGGACTTCTCAGGGCTGGAGCGTGGCCCCAGCACAGCCTCTCCCAAAGAAGGACAGGGCAGAGGGGCTCTGGGCTGTGGGCAGCGAGGGCCAGCTGGGCTGGCAGGCAGCTCCAGGGCTCCTCTGGGGCTGTCAGAGAGGGGCTGTTCCCGGACCCTTTGGGCTTCTGGGGGCTTCTTTGGTCTGATTCTGTAGAAGAGACACAGAACTGAGGCAAGAGCAGCAGGACTACAGCTCCTGGCCCCTCAGATGGACCAACGCGGCCGCTCAGCTGGGCTGTGCCAGAAGATGACAGCTCCCGGCACGCTGAGGAGCCTGGCCCTTCCAACTGGATCCCTGGGGTAGTTTAGTCTAGGCCTTCCTTGGTGAATTCAAGGAATCTCCCTGGGTGCCATCCTCCCCCTTCATCCCTAAGCCCCCCTCAAGACTCCACCAGCCTGGCAGGGCCACTCAGCCACCCCTGGGGCAGCTCGGGGTGCCGCGCAGGGGCCTGGGGTGCGGCAAAGGCCTTGTGAGGGCTCCTGAGCAGCCCGGTGCTGGAAGAGCTGTTGAGTGGGGAAAAGCTCTTGCTGGTCAGTGGGAGAAAGAGAAGAGGCAACAAAAGCCATGGTTTCAGTTAAGCTTGAGCAAATGTTATGCATTTAATGTGACTGAAGGGCTCTGAGGCCAGACTCTGCAGTGTGGGGACAGGAAAGGGATGTCCTGGGGGCACGCAGGGCTGTCTGAACATGGGGCTCCTTGGGATGTCCCGAGGAGACATGAGAGCAAAGTGGGGCCTGGAGACACTCTGAGGGCAGCTGAGTGCCAAGGGCTGAGGCAGGCCTGTGTCCCCAGGGGCACCCTGCCTGTTCCAGCCTGCGTGGTGGCTCCCTGGGACCCGTTGCTGGGGGCAGGTGCCATGTCAACAAGCACTGGGACCTGTTGCTAGCGGCCGGCAGCGTGTCACAGAGGGGCCCTTTGTGACACCCACTGCAGCAGGTGTGCTCAGCACGACCGTGGCCCACGGTGGGTCAGTGTCCGTCAGGAC